ATGACAGCAACTTGACCCCCTAAATCCCAGAGTTCCCTGCATGACTCATTTCTGCCCCACAACATATTGCGAAAATCCCCCAAAAGGCATTGCACTGGAGGGTGGCTCTTGGCACACTGGGATACCTACCCATGGCACACCGCACTTTGCCTTGACATGAGCATTTCTTCTGAATACGCAAAGCGCCAATGCGAGCAGCCAAGTATGCACATGCAGGAGCAAAAGACTAACTGCGGCAGCTTTACACCAATGTAGCTTATGTCATCCAAAGTTTGTAGCATAGACATGGCCTAATTCCTTTGTGCTCCTATTTGGGGCAGTGTTTGCAATTAGTTTTGCAACAAGAACGTCTGGACAAGGCATCAGCTTATGGCAATGGCCATGCTTATGGCCAGGCCTTTGTGTGATTGTGAAATCATAGCACTGCAGCTTCTTCTACAATCTGGCAAGCCTGTCTCAGGATTTCTGAATCTATAGAGCCATTGCAGGGAAGCATGAGCTGTTCTGACCATAAACTTCCTCCCATACAAATCATAATTAAAATGTTCTATCGATTTAATCAGAGCTAGGAGTTCTGTTTAGGGATGCAATCATTTATTTCAGGAAAACTTAGACTTTTGTAATAATAAGCTACCACCTCTCAGGTCTCTTGTGTTCTTGTGTCAGTATTGCCCCAAACTGAAAGCATCTGTCTCCAATGTGAAAGGAGTTTTAAATCATGGATAGGCCACAACAGTTCAGTCAGCAGAGACTTTCAACCCTGGAAATGCTTCATCACACACTGCTGACTGCTGAAATGGTTTCCCCTTTTCACTCAACCAATTCACTCAATTGCAATATTGACAAAAGTGAATCGTCTATAAAAGGAGCCATAGCCCTTTAAAACATTGCACAGCTGAGAGTATCTGGAGAGTTGATCAGCTCTGTACAGCCTCAATTTTCGTTTTGTCAGTGGAGATTCCCTCCTCACTAATTATGTGCCCAGGGTACATTACCTCTTTTTGAAACAACTCACTTTTCTTTGAGCTCCATTTCAAAATGGCTGCCTTCAGCTTCTCACAGGCCACTTGTAAATTCTTTAGCTCCTGTTCAAATGTTTTAGCAGGCACCAGGATATCATCTAGGTATAACAGACAGGCTGAAAGGAGCATTCCAGGTAATACCCTTTCTATTAGCCTAAATTGCCACAAGTATCACCCAGTGAAAGCATTCCCCCCCCCCCCATCTTTTGGATACACTCCCACTTGCCAGTAGTCACTCAAAAGATCCTGTGTGGAAAACCATATTGCACCTGCTACAACATCCAGAATATCATCTATTGGAGGTAATGGATAAGAATCCTTTAAAGTGACTTTATTCAATTTTCTATAAATCCACATAGAATTTGGTGCTCCCATCCGTTTTCCAAAGGACTCGTTAAAGACTCAATAAGCCTTCCTGGTACATTGCCTCAATGGTCTAAGAACATAACATAAGAACGGCCATACTGGATCAGACCAAAGGTTCATCTAGCCCAGTATATTGTCTTCTGACAGTGGCCAATGCCAGGTGCCCCAGAGGGAATGAACAGATCAGGAAATCATCAAGTGATCCATCCCCTATTGCCCATTCCCAGCTTCTGGCAAACAGAGGCTAGGGACACCATTCCTTTCCATCCTGGCTAATAGCCATTGATGGACCTATCCTCCATGGATTTATCTAGTTCTTTTTTGAACCCTGTTATAGTCTTGACCTTCACAACATCCTCTGGCAAGGAGTTCTACAGCTCAGCTGTGTGTTGTGTGAAAAAGTACTTTTTCTTGTTTGTAATAAACCTGCTGCTTATGAATTTCACTGGGTAACCCCTAGGTTTTGTATTGCCTGAAAGGATAAATTATACTTTTCTAATCACTTTTTCCACACCATTTATGATTTTAGAGACCTCTATAATATCCCCCACTTTGTCGTCTCTTTTTAAGCCATTCTGTACCCCTGTTGATCTTTATTGTCCTTCTCTGAACTTTTTCCAGTTCCACTATATCCTTTTTGAGATATGGTGACCAGAATTGGATGCAGTATTCAAGGTATAGGCTCACCAGGGATTTATATAGTACCATTCCTGATGTCTGATTTGTGTCCATTTATTCTTTCTACTTAAAAGAATAAATAGACACAAATCAGACATATGGAATGGTAACATACAAAAGCCAGTAGGAGAACACTTCAGTCTCCCTGGACATTCAATAACAGATTTAAAAGTAGCCATCCTTCAATGAAAAAACTTCAAAAACAGACTTCAAAGAGAAACTGCCGAGCTAAAATTCATTTGCAAACTTAACACCATTAATTTGGGCTTAAATAGGGACTGGGAGTGGCTGGCTCACTACAAAAGCAATTTTCCCTCTCTTGGTATTGACACCTCCTCATCAGTTATTGGGAGTGGACCACATCCACCCTGATCGAATGGCCTTGTCAACACTGGTTCTCCACTTGTAAGGTAACTCCCTTCTCTTCATGTGCCAATACATTTATGCCTGTATCTGTAATTTTCACTCCATGCATCTGAAGAAGTGGGTTTTTTTACCCATGAAAGTTTATGCCCAAATAAATCTGTTAGTTTTTTAAGGTGCCGCCGGACTCCTCATTGTTATTATGAAACAGAGAGAGATTATAATAAAGAGGATAAGGGAAACTTGCTGCAGCCTGTAATTCTAGCATAAGCAGGAGAATAATATTCATAGAAACCTTAAATGCTTTTGAATTCAGAGATTCAACAAATCCCATCTGTAATGAGCTGCAAGAAATAGCCTCAACATAGCTACATACTTCAGATTATAAAATAAAATTTTCCACATACAGAAGCTTCAGTCACTAAGCAAAATGATCAGACTTCTAGACCCCAGTATATTAATCTTTAATGTGCCCTTAGGCTTCCTTTGTTCATCTGAAAATGAAGGCTGCTGAGGATGAGTTGTAGGCACATTTTCAAAAGTAGCCACTAATTCTGAGTGCCTTAGTTCTTGTGTGCTTAACCTGTGGTACCATGGGCCTGATTATCAGAAGCGTTGAACACTCAGAACTCTCTTTGAAGTGGCTGCTCAACACTTCTAAAAATCAAGCCCTAAATCTTGTATGCTGGGCCCCCAAGTCAACAACCACTTCTTTGAAAATTGTGGCCTTTAATGTATTTACTAAGTTTACACAAAAGCCAAACTCTTGCACATCAGCTACTTCACCTAAGACAAAAGCTTTATATGTTCATTGAAATTGCCTTAAAGGCGGTGAATGGCAAGACAGTGCCAAAGATAACTCCAACTGCATATTGGTTCTAAAAACCTATCTAGTGAATCATATAAAATATAATTAATTTTCATGTTTTTTACCGCCTGGGATCAGTATTTCCAGTGTACCACCAAGTTCATATAAAGCATATAAGCAATAGTACTAAGTACATTTACACTTCTGCACTTTGCTTATACCATTTACCGCATATTGGTGGACGTAAAACCAATAGTTAGCTATACATCGACCCCCACCATCTAATTTAAAAGGACATTATTATGGCTGCAAATCAAGCACTTAAAAGTTAAGGAATCCCGAATTAAGGTTGTCCGTGCACCTTTAATTCAGTCCCTTGTGTGTTTACAGTATAATACAATTTTTTATTACATGATCACTATTTTTCCATTGGATTTTTAATAATGCTCTTAATGTCATTTTTTAAATGTTCTAGGTTTTAAAAATGCAAACTAAAAAACTACCCAGATAGTCTATCACTTGGCATCAGATTGATGCTCACATGGTGCAAGTTACTCTATGGAGATGGCAAGTATGCGGTCTGGTCAGCGCAAGGTAATGAGCTTGCTCATTGAAGATGGAATCTTTGGAGACTTTAAATTCTAGCAAGTCTTTGAGCATCTGCAAACTGATTTTTTTTCAAAGGCTTATAACTTGGCAAAATTTGGGCAGATTTCCACAGGAATGGCAATAGGCACATCCCTGATATGAAGTCCACCCTTCACCCACCCCACTGACACTGTATTTCAAGTCTGTTCTTCAAAGCATAGGCATGTTGGAGGTTTCCAAAGAAAGGTTAATGGAATTTTTTTAACATTGAGAAATAATGTATTTTCTCCAAGCCTTATTCTTAGAACTGGTGAGCCATTTTGCCTAAAATTTTCCAAAAACATTCAGCCTGAATATTCATCATGGAAAATTTCAGCCCTAACAGACTTAATAACAGGCAGTGCTACCAGCCCCACCTAAAATAAATAGGAAAGACCTTCCATGTCAAATTTTGAAAATGCAAAGGTTAGCTCAAATTTTGGGCCTGCATTACTCAATGTACTTTTGACATTACTTGACCATAATTATTGTTGCTTACTAAAAGCAAAACATAGTTTAAACAGTTATGAAAAAATTTAAAAGTTTTCTTATTGTGTTGCCTTGCTTCAGGTCATAAAAATATTTAATTCATACTAAATTGTACAACAAAACAAAAACCAAAATCCCTAAAATGGAGATTGCAATGGAATGAAAATGCTCCAGAGAGAGATTTCTCATGATGTATTGATATACATCATGTGAACATTGATTTTGAGATTTAAGAATAAAATGGGGAAAATGATTAAAATAGGGCTGGTCTTCTATGAGCAGAACTGAAATGAGGTGGAATTCCTTGTGCAAAGGGTTTGGGGTGTTAAGCGAACAGCGATATAGACTGACCCTGCAGCTGCCTTTGCGTGGATGGACCTGTGCCTCTGTGCAGTGCTGGTATGTGGGATCCTTGTGTCAGGGATTCCACACAGGCATAGTAGTTCCACTGACATGGTTCTCTTTGCAAGATCGGAGACTTAGAATATGACTAATTTTCTCATCAAGTGAGATGTAAAATTACGTTAACTGTTATGGAAAATGAATCTGATTACTCTTTCTGATTACTGTAAAATCAGAATCTGCATATGCATTGTGATATAAGGGATGTTTTTGACTATGTCCTAAAACTTTGTGCTTTTTTCCAGAGGTGAAGACAAGGATACTTTTGGCACTCCTTGAATATACAGGTACTTTTAATAGGCTAGTTTCAGTCTGAGGTTTGGTTTTTCGTTTTCTTTTTGAAGCACTAGAATCTCTCTTCACAGATGTTTTATATTTGTGTTATGAACCCAAAGAAGAGGTAAGTGGAATAGAGGAAGGGAAGATCCCAAACCCATTGACCACAACTTGGAATGTGAAGTTTTACTCTTATTATGTACACTAAGTGTTCCCGAAGGCAATGGCAATTTAAAATGAAAACTCTAGTAAATGAGAGACAATACAAACTGAATATTTATGTTTGGGATGCAAAATACCATCCCTCACTTATTTTGGATCTCAGTAGGTGAAATGGCTGCTAAAGCACTGAGCTGGTATACAATATTTTTGCTATCTTTTCTCCTCTGCTTTTCTACACCTACCTTCATTTTCCATCATTTCCGTTCTCCCTTTCCTTTTCTTTCCTCTCTACCTCCAGCTTCCCCTGGCCCTAGTTTCCTTGTTATTCTTGTCTTTCTTGCCCATCCCTGTCCCTTCTCTTTTTTTACCTAATTCTTCAGAATATGATGGATTTAAAAAAATTATCACCCTGCTTTTTGGAAATGGTCTGCATTTTCCACGGACTACTTTGCCACAATTTCATCCATTGTTAACAACATGAAATATGCAAATGTATTTACAAAATAGTGAGTAAATGGGCATTCAATATTCAGGAGATAATGCTCCTGGCAGAAGAGTGTACAAGGCAATCTACAGCTTTTGCAGGTGGTTAAATGCCAAGTGAAGCAGAGACATTTGACTATAAAAGCCAATTATTATCATACAGTTTAGGCAAACCACAGCATGAAATAAAAGAAAAGTAATGGTCCTTTGTTTTAAAGTTTGGGCTTATAATTATTAATAATTGTTCAAAAGTTTTAAATGGAGTGGCCAGTGCAGAGGAGTGAAGTAATTGGACACCTGAAGGGCATGATTTTTAAAAACTCCTATTTTGCAGATGCAATTAATGGGAGGCACAAATGATAGCAAATAGACATCCAACTACAAAACTGTATATGCAAATCAGATGTCTACATGCCATAATTTGTGCCCACAATTAATGGAGGCTGTAAAATGAGAGGTCAAGCTGAGGCTCTTTTATGAACCCATGCCCATAATGTCTGTAAGAAATTCAGTACCGTTTTTAAGAAGAAAACATTTGATTTTTCTGATCTGTGACTGGCTGAAATCCTTCTTTGATAATATTCTGTGGCAATCTTTAAAGAACAGATAATTGCCAAAGAGGCCAGGGAGCTTTCTGAAAGAAAGAAATATTTAGTTTTACTTTCTTATAAGACTGAAAAAAATAAAAGTTTAATTTTATAAAAGAATAATTGCAGGGCTTGCAACATTTTACTTATTCTACAACTTTAGTTTTTATAGAGTCTCTCATAAAAACTGTATCACAAAGTGCTATTGAGTTCAATATTAAACAGTGTTAAAATATATTAGATGAGATTTGAAAATGTGAGGTGTTGGTGATACAGGAAGGCTGCAGCAAAAGGCAGGCACTGCAGGAGTGAAGAATCTATGAAGGCACAGTGAATTAGCTGCTTCTAGACAAATGGAGATAGCTGTGGGGAGTGTAGCGAGAACAAGATCCATACGGGTGCAAATATATGTTCGGTGTTAAAAATCACGAAGGCCTGTTAGATTGTTATGTGAACTGGGGAACCAGTGGGATTATCTGAGCATGGGGGAGATTATTGTATTTCTCTATAATGAGAAAAAAAAACAGCAGCAGCATTTTTTACATATGTTGGATTCTGAAGAATAGAACTTGGGGTACATCTACACTACAGGGGGGAGTCGATTTAAGATACGCAAATTCAGCTACGTGAATAGCGTAGCTGAATTCGATGTATCGCAGCCGACTTACCCCGTTGTGAGGACGGCGGCAAAATCGACTTCTGCGGCTTTCTGTCGGCGGCGCTTACTACCACCTCCGCTGGTGGAGTAAGAGCGCCGATTTGGGGATCGATTGTCGCGTCCCAACGGGACGCGATAAATCGATCCCCGAGAGGTCGATTTCTACCCGCCGATTCAGGCGGGTAGTATAGACCTAGCCTTGGAGAGGTCATAGAGAAGGAATTTACAGTAATCAAGATCAGAAAACATAAAGGCTTGGATAATGATTTCAGTAGAAATGGTGTAAAGAAGCAGTAGCACTTGTGGACAGTATTCTAAAAGTCCTTACGGACAGGTAGGAGAAAGAAAGCAAACTCATGGTCAAAGATGTTTCCAAGGTTAGAGACAGGGGAAGCAAATGTGAAGTTTGAGTTAAGAAGGAAGATAGAGAGGATGGAGTTATGTTGAGGAGGCACCTGTTGCCCATGGGAAGCACATAATTTGTTAAGAAGGTGTTAGGATGCAGGGTTATTTCTGTAGATGCGGAATTATGTTTACTGGTTACCTGGTCAGGTGAGTCCTATAGTTCCATCCCAGAGATATAAAAGGGTTTGAGCCTCTCTGTGAGAGAGGGAGAACTAGGAGCAAGGAGGAGAGGCCCTGCAGGGAGAAACCTCAGGAAGAAGCCAACTTCAGGCTGAGTTTTCTGTATTGTTATTTCAGTTAATGGAAAAGGGAAAACCCCAGAATGGGGACAAGTTTGGATACTAACCCACTGTGTTTTTACTTTATTGAAAACAGAATAGGGATCCTGTCTGTTCACGATGGGCCCAATTCACCATTGTCCTGCACCATGTGTAGTCATTGATATAAGAGCAAAATGGGTGTAAAACTATCAAATCAGAAAAAATGTTGTACAGCCACTTTGCATTCACTTCTCACACGTGAAATGACTACCAAGGTGCAAATCAGTGAAGAATCATGCCCCTCAACTTTTACCTTGTTAGAACTAAAAGGGCCTGAGCCACAAAATTAGGATCTGGATTTTGAACACCCCAAAATGTGGGGTTGATTGCAGTAGGGGGCTCACCATTTTGCTAGGCTGTCTCAAATTCACACCCTTTTGCTCTGGGGTGGAGAATCTTTCTTTTATCTTTGTGAAATCAGTAACCGGGAAGAATTACAATACACAACTATATCCCAACACCTTTATCAGCCTTCATGAATGGAGCTGTAGTGTTGATAAAAGGAACATTTTGAGAGTCACATGTAGTTAATTACCACAGGAATTATGCACTAAGCCTCAATGCAATAAACTCTAGATTCTAATAAAAGAGGTCTTACTCCATTGGTAACCAAACATCCCCAAGTGTATACCAGTCTTGCTCCCAGGTTAGGGAACACCTCTTTCCCATTGGATTGGTGGCCAATGTTTCTATAAAGGATGAGCTTACACCGGCCAGATTCTATTCCCCCTGTCATCCTCAGGGGCCTGAAGTTGTAGTTGAAGTACTAGTCAGGGCTTCTTCTCCAAGGAACTGGATCTTCTCTGGCCTGCAGTCACCCAGTCCCTGCTGGCTGCCCAGTGTTACACCTCTGGTCCCACCTTCTTTCTAGGCCTGTCTTACAGCCCTTGTGTTCAGGTTGTGGTTGGGCCTGCTGTGGTCCAGCAGCAACATCATGTGAACCCTGTCTGTAGCTCACATCATGCAGTCCCTCCCAACTGATAGGCCAAGAGCTGACCAAGTGACCTATAACCATTTATAACTGTCCCAAACTTGGGCATGGCAGATTCTCCTCTGGAGTAGCATATCCATCCTGTAATGGCAAGAGGGCTGATAGTAGGATGTTGAACATGGGTAGCATAACCAATCAACTTCCTTGGGGATGGAGTGAGGGGCCAGTTCTTCCCCTTGACATGCCCCCTAACCAGTGAGAGCTCAGGCAGCAAGGCAGGTGTTTCACAGCAATGGTGCTGCCATGTGGAGCAGGTCTTTGTTTTAGGTGCTGGTTCCGGTTTGGATACAATCTAGTTGTGACAGGCAGAAAGCTGAAAAAGACAAGAGGGGAGACATTAAAGGTTGAAAGATATTTGCAGTTGAGTGATATCACGATGAGCTTGGTAAGAATTAAAGATAGAATGATGATGAGCAAAATAGAACCAGGCAGAGGGTTGAAAAATGACTTTTTGTGGGAGTCTGTAGAAGAAGGACCTATGAGCAGAAGAGAAATTGCCACCAGACAGAAAGAGGGAGGAAGGGCGGTGGGGTTGGAGCGAGAGAGATGCATGTTTTATAGGTCAGAACCATGAATCTGGAAAGAGCCAGAGATACCTACAAAACTTGTGTATTGGAAAGGAAGTTACATCGTGGCATTTAAATGAAGACTTTAATTAAATACTTCATTAAGCTAAAGGCAACACTTACTCTACTGAGTTAATTACTCAAATTCCAAAGCTTGGAATATGAGCTACCCACAGTAACATTACTGACTCAGAAAGTAAATTGCTTACCAAAGTTTGATTTCTAAATTGGGACATTTTAATGATTATTCAATGGATTGTGAATTTTAAACAGGTTTGTACGTAAAGCATATTTAACTATTTTCGCACAACTCCTTTAATTTGTTTTGAATTTTTTCAAATAAGGAGTAAAATCTCTTAGTTAAGGCTTTTTTGCAATGTGAGATTTTATTTTTCCAGAAAACAATGGCTCTTTTGCTTAAAACAAAACAAAAACTTGCTACAGTTAATTTACTGTTAATTTATTCTCCCATTTGTCTTGCTTTTCCTCTTCTGGTCTTTCCCTCACAGATAGTGAGATACAGCTCAGACGAGACATGGTCTTCTGCCAAAGTCTGGTGGCCACAGTCTGTGCTTTTTCAGAGCAACTAATGGCTGCCTTAAATCAGATGTTTGACAACAGCAAAGAGTATGAAATGGAGACTGGAGAGGCCAGCAGAAGGTGGTTGGAACAGATAGCTAATGCAGGTGTCCTCCTTCACTTCCAGTCATTGTTGTCACCTAACCTGGTAAGAATCTCATTGCAGTAAACACGTGAGTCAATATGACAGTGCTGAGTAAGGGCAGCACGAAGCAAGGTGCATTATGTTTACAGTATCCTGCATCCTTTGTGTTTAGCTCATGTATTTATTAGCTGCTATTCAGGAAGTCTGCGGTTCAAATAATTACTGATATGGGAAATTAATAATGATACTCACAAACATAATGTTATGTTTCTGTTTCAAGTTACTAGATACTGAGAAGGTGTATGAGGAACACACAATAGTAGCGATTAAAAATCCAATATGCCATTAGACACCACACAGCTATCACAGCTATTTCCCCTCTGAACAATAAGTATATATGAGGTGATCACCATAGCTTCAGTCACTGTAATTAGCAATATAAGGAAAATACAATACTCATTGCCTATTTTTAACAGAAAATCCCCACTTTCCCTTGGTAATTCAACTCTAAGGGCTAAATCTTCAGTCTCACTGAGGCTGCTTTGCCGCCATGGTGGCACAAACCAAACTGAAAGTTGATGTAACCAGCCAGTAGGAATTCAGCAGGGAATCCACAGGTAGACAATTGTTGCTCCTTTGCCACCCTTCCCACTGTTTTACCACCTGTTTAAAGTAACATGGATCATCTGTATCCAGAATGCTTGGTTAGAAAATACTGAAAAAGTTGTTCTTAAAGACTTTCCCCTGAAGTGATGAATGTTATTATTGGACTAACTCAGCACTCCTTTTTTGTGCAAAAAACTTTACAAAATTGAGTGTTAATTTTAATTTAAAATTACATAATTGGAACAATTCATCATGACTATTATTACCAGTATATGAGTACATGAAAATAACATTTAAATAATGTGGGATTTTAATTACAAAGGAACAATTTCTTGAGCCTTGAAGCAAAATCCAGAAGTTATGGTGTACCTGTGGTAACGGTTATCTTGTAACAGAACTACAACAGCTAAGAAGGTGGTAAAACAGAATTGCAAATATAGAAGACACTATATTAAAAGGTCTCAAGCTTTCACAATAAGAAGTCAGAGACTGACTCATCAAACCAGTAGGCCCAATCCTCAGGACCAGCCATTTGGCACCTAGCAGCTCAGGGGAGGAATGACTGAAGAGGACATTGCAAAAACAGCTTTCCAGCTCCCTGATCATCAGACTACCAGATACCAGTCTAGTCCGCTAAGTGACTTAAAGTAGCCTCAGGGATCCATGCAGGCAGCCAGGATTTTAAAAAAGGGCTTGTGAGGGCAGTTATACTCATTACATCTGGATTTCAATAAAGAATGAATGAACAATTTTGTAAAGATTTCCCATGTGATAGAATGGTATTCAGATTACTCTGGTGATAAAAATTGCCCTATCTCCAGGGGGTTAATAAATTGAACCATTAGGTAAAATGTTGCAGGCATAACCCCTTCTTCATAAATACATGGGAAATACTATTTAAGTTCATGGAACAGGGAAAATTGTTTTTTCCCCTCTGTGTAAATCAGTAACATTCAGCTAATTTTCATGTTATAGGGAATATGTTTATTGCCGTCTGTTTTGTTGTGCATTTATTAACTGTTTCAATGCTTGCAGAAAGAACTAAATATACACCAGGTTTACATTTGTCTGCTTGGTAGTTTAGCATAGAAGGGACAGTAATATGAAAAATACAATTATTTTAAGTGAGTATTGATTCTGCTGTGACTGCTCTAAGTATTTACTTCCAGGCTAACTATATTGTTGGTGAATACTTCCCTTGTTATTAGAGATCCAATAAAATATCTTGAAAGGGTTATAATTTACTTCTTGAAGTTATGTGGTACGAGACTTGATTTTCAAAGGGTAAGATTTTCCATCATTTTGGTTTGAGAGTTCACAAAATCTGAGCCTGCAAAAATGAAGTACAGGTGCCAATCAGAACTTTGGCACATCTAGCTACCCAAAATTGGGTAGGTCAAGGTGAAAATTACTCCCCTATTTTCACCCACATTTGAGCTGCCCATTCAATCGTTGGCACAAAAATTTCCCCTTAAGCACATAACTGGGACTTTTGAAAATCTAGTCCACTATCTATAAATGATAGCTTATGCTCGGGTGTTTTTCCCCCCGATGTGTTTAAAAACAAAGTTTTAACTTTGTGTAGTAATTGTGATGGGACCCCTAGGGAACAACCTGGAACTCTGTGACCTCTGTGTCCCCTTAACTCTCCATCCTGGGCTGTTTTGCACAATGGTTTGCTAGTGACAAGCAGCAAACCCCTCCAGGTGCTGTTGTCACACAGCCACCAGCATGCAGCGACACGTTCAGCTAAATTGCATGAATGCTCTCTAAGCCTCTCATAAACTATAGAGAGGGAGACACTAGCAAATCCCCACCAGCCTTGCACCCCAGAAATGTACCGTCTTACACTGCTCAAGACCTTCTCTTGAACAATACAAGCTCATTAATTAGTTTGCCACTTTGTCAAAGGATAGTGGACATTCACCAGCCTTTGTAATCTCAGCAAAGTCCCCACGCATTTTAGACAAACTCACTTGGTTAAGATAAAACATTGAAATAAGTTTATTAACTACAGAAAGATAGATAGATTTTAAGTGATTATAAGTGGTAGGTATAAAGATCAGAAGTAGTTACCTAAGAAAATAAAAAGTAAACACGCATTCTAAATCCTGAACTTTCAGACTAAGGAATATTTTGAATCAAGCAGTTTTTCTCACCCCACTGGATGTTGCAGGCAGATTACAGTTCTTAATACACAGGCTGAATTTCTTTCTCAGCCTGGGACCAATCTCAGTTCTCAGTCTTTGTCTTCCCAGCATTTTTGTTGCCTTCAGAGTAGGTGAGGGAGGAGAAAGGTGGTCTCATGATGCCACTGTGCCTTATTTTACACACTCAATTCATGTCCCAGGAAAGATATTGGCCCCAGACATGTCCTGGTGGGCCTTGCTGAATCATACAATTGAGCAACCCTCATTGTGTGGTGTTTACACAACTGCCTTTTACAGAATTGTAAATCTATTGTTTACAATTCCCCTGCTGGTGAATGGCTCATGATGGTTGCTTAATGCCAATTTGATGTGGGTCACCACCATTGTTGTTACTGGAGAGCTAGCCAAACTCACAACAACTTCAATAACAACCATATTGCAGAATATCATAATTCCATATACAATGATGATTATGGCTATGGTTTTGTCATGGACATTTTTAGAAAAGGTCACAGACTGGTCACAGGCAATTAACAAAAATTCACAGAAGGTGTGACCTGTCCCTGACTTTTACTAAAAATGTCCATGACTAAACAGGGAGGGAGGAGGGTCAAGCACCCTGCCCTGCTGTGGCTGGGAGCTGCTGTGGACCCTGCCCTGTGGCTGGGAGGGACCCCCGGCTGGGAGCTGTGGGGGATCCCCCACCGCCTGGGGACTGGGAAGTTCTAGGGGATTCCCCTCCAGGCAGGGGAGCTGTGGGGGTTTCCCTGACACTTGTGGCAGCTAGGGAGCCACAGAGGTCCTCCACATCCGCAGGTACTAGGGAGCTGCGGGGGAGCCTGGCCCACTGTGAGGACTGGGGAGCTGCAGGGGATTCTCCCTCTGGTGGCAGCAGCTGAGGAGCTCCCAGGGATCCCCTGCTGCCTGCAGGGACTGGGGAGCTCTGGGGGGTTCACCTATCGGTGGCGGCGGTGGCTGAGGAGCTGCTGAGGGTTTCCCTGCCACCTGCGGGGACTGGGGAGCTGCCAGGGACCCCTGCACGCACAGTGGCTGGAGAGCTGCTGGGGACCCCTGTACCCATGGGGACTGGGAAGCTGCAGGGGACCACGGCCACTCTGGGCGGCCAGGCTACTCTGCAGCTCCTGGCCACCACGGGAGGTGGGGATACCCTGCAGCTCCAAGCCACTGCAGACTGAAGTCATGGATGTCTGCGGAAGTCATGGATTCCGTGACTTCCATGACCTCCGTGACCAAATTATAGCCTTAATCATGATACACATATTTTGACATAACAATGATTTTCAGTAGATCATGACCTTTCATATGATACCTTGCAAGGCATTCCTTATATGAAATATCACAACCATAACAAATGATGACTAAGGAGGTTACAGGGTGCTATTTTAAAACAGTGCATCACAATAATGTAGAAGAATTTTTAAAATCTAGGGTTAGTGTCATATACATTGTAAGGTTGCCCATTTACATACACAACAACTAAAATTAAATTAAATGGTAGCTGTAATGGTAGCTGTAAATTAACTTTAGCTGCAAAATAGTTTAATAATTTCAGTTCTAATTTCAATTTTAATAATAATTTTTTTGCCAGTAGAAGAGGGAGTAGAAACCGAATAAAAACAAATCCATCATCTGTTATTCCTGAAAGTTAATTAGATTAATACTTTAATGAAGCCGGGTGTAACTTTCTGCAGTTATTTTTGATGTTCATGCTGTATATGGTTTCCAGTATGGTTTCCAGTATGCTAAAATCACATAATCTTTATTTGAGTAGAGATTTTTTTTCCATTCCAGACTGATGAACAAGCCATGCTAGAAGATACATTGGTTGCTTTGTTTGACCTGGAAAAAGTTACTTTTTATTTTAGACAGTCAGAACTAGAACAACTAGTCGCAAGTGAGTAAAGAATTATATTTATTAGATTTATTGTTCTATAAACAAACAGTGGCATGTTAGATATGTTTAAAGTAATATAATGTTTTTCTCTTCTGGAGCATCTCAGCTCATGGGCAGATCTCTTAATTTGGGAATGATATGGGTCATGGGGCTGGGAATGGAATAATAGAGCCTTTCCTCACTAGATCTCCTGATATCCAGCAAAGGTCAGTCACAATGAACAGTAATTATTATCTGACAGCTGTTCAGGAGCCTCAGTAAATGATTCATGGTCTCAGTGAAGCCAGTGGATAAGTGACCATTCCAGAAACAATGTCCAGAAGAGCTAGTTCTCACTGAGGAGCAGTGTGTAAAACAAGTTATCAGAGGACAGAAGAACATTAGAACATTGTTCACATCTACATCATCAGTGACACACGAAGGGATAACTTACATCTCTCAGTACCAATGAGGAGCATGGTGCTAGAAGAGGAGATTGACTTCTGAGTGGGAAGAGGCAGATGGTATTTCCTCCAGGGTTCTGTCGGTCAGGAACAGCTTTAAATTGTCAAGAAGTGTCCTCTGAGCCCTGCTGGTGCAGGCTAATGAGATGTGCTGAATCAGAGCATCCCCCATGCCCAAGCTACTCTTGGGGATGCACTGACTGCCTGCCGACTCCTGGTGGAGGAGAGGTTGCAGCTTTTTTCTGCCTCTGCAGCCCCCTCCTGATGTTCAGACCCTGCGGTGAATTTGGCACAGCGAATGAAAACACACTTTTCCAAAGTCTCATAACTCAACAGGAGGAAAAGCGTGTCTGATTAACTTCAAGCTTTCCAAACAAATACTGCCCTGGGGATAGAGATCACACAAGATAACTTTTACAGTAAAAAGACCCCAAAGCTGCTAGTGAGAGAGGGTGTCAACACTCCCAGAATTCAAGTACCACCTTACAGCCACGGAGTGTTGCCAGGGTTCACATTTGCAGGGCTGGTGGTGAGTTAGGATTTGATCCATATACTACTTCTGCTGTGTTGGGTGAACAAGTCTGCAGGAGATTCCATAGCCCTGCTTCAACCATTTCCCATTAAGAAGAGGTCCCATTAAACCAGACATCAATCCAAGACAGGGTGGAGGGTCAGCCTGGACAGCATTCCTAGTTGGGAGCAGATTAGTTGCCTATGTTGTGCAGTGCTCATATTGTCTCCTTCCCATGGAAAAGTCTTTCTCATATATGGTGATATACAGAGATCTTATGTGTAGCATTCAGATCAAAACAGAATTGCAACAAGCTCTATTTCAGCTTTTAATTTAAATGCCACCATCACAACGATCCAAACTTCATGGTTTCATGGAGAAGCAGATTTTGGTGGCAAATTCAGCTTTTCATTTACGGCAAAGCATAACTGCCAAAGTTAAAAGAAATTAATTATTTCTTGATGCCAAAAAATAGTAACAAGTGGCAATTTAACCTCCTTTTCTTGGAGCTGCAAAATCATAATGTAAGAGCATCAATACCCATAACAGCTACAGGTTGTAGTTTTTTTTAATTTTTAATTTAAAAGTATAACTGGAAATATGCATGGATTTTTATTTGAAGTAAGATGCTGTAACTCTGCAAATGTTAAGGTTGGGGTGTGTCTGTACTTTGATCTGGGAGTATAATGTGAAGCTTGAGTATCAGATATACCTGTGCTGGCTGTGGTGGACCTAGCATGCTAAAAATTGAGTGTCGCCATGGCGGTATGAGGAGCAGGACACTAGCTGCCCTGATTACTAGCAAATCTTTTAATATTTTCACCCTGCTAGATACGTTTTCAGGATGGTTAGTCCCTCATGCTGCTTGCACCATTGTGGTTACGCTCTATTTTTGGCGCACTAGATCAGTCAGAGCTAGCACAAGTATGTCTAGTTAAGCTGGGAATTACACCCCCAGTTCAAAGTGTAGATGGACCCTTACAGTAAAAAGGGTAAATTTTCACTGGCTTTTGCTAATGGCAGTTCTATGCTTTCTTACCTGCACAACATTGAAAATGTACATTGGGGAATCATTGCAAATGATAGAGCCAGAGGCATTAGAAGATCTAGGAATCTAAACCAATGTGAAAGGGAACTTCCCATTTAATTCAGAGTGACATCTGGTGTGTCAGTGTGTAATGAAACATACTATTATATAATTTTATGTACTGTACAGTAAGAAATCAGTTGTCAGAAAATGAGTCTCCAATTTAACTATTATTCATTGAATGGTTCTGTAGTTATATATTCCTCAGCTTTATGCATTACAGACATTCTGATGTGAGCAGGCCATGGTTCAATGACTAGAATTAATATCATGGGACACATTCTTAGGTACACAGAGTTTATACTTGGCATCACTGAGAAGAGGGGAGTGAAAGGTGGCTGTAAGGCATCTGTCTACTCCACTGATCCTGGTCTGGCTAGAGGCCAAAGTGGGCCCAGGCATAACTTAAAGCAGCCTATGGGTTGCTTTAATTCATGCCAGCTGCTGTGATCACAAAGGGTCTGCTGTCCCAGATGAGGATCAAAAAAAGCAGTATGCACTACAACCCACTCCCTCCTGCCACTGGCATGCTTCCTCCCCACCCTTCATAGACCTGTGGGAAAGTAGGTGGTGTAGAATCACCTTTACACCACCTGAAGATTCCCCTCTGTTGCAGGAACCTGTGGTTGGCTGTTAAGGCATCTTTCTGCCTGCTTTGTGGTGGTGTTCCATTGCAAAGCAGGCAGAATTAGGGACAGGAATTTGGCTATATATAATTTTTGAGTGTAACATTCTTTCTAGTTTTTGGAAGAGAAAATATCACATAGTTGTTGGCTATTAATAACATGGCAATGTTAACTATTTTCTTAGATGTTCCAATCACATATCAAGCAGAAGGAAGCCGGCAAGCTTTGAAGGTTTACTTTTATCTTGATAGTTACCATTTTGAGCAGCTTCCTCAAAAGCTGAAGAATGGAGGAGGGTTTAAAATCCACCCAGTACTTTTTGCACAAGGTAATTCTTTTTCTATACCTTCAAATAGTGTCTGGAAAATCTGCAGTCCCATCTTAGCCCTGATTCAGCAAGGTACTTAATCACATGTGTACCTCTGAGCACATGAATAGTCTCATTAAGTTCAGAATTAGGGCCTCAATTCAAATACTTTGTTGAATTGGGGTTCTAATTCTGAGATGAATTTTAATTTTAAGGAATGAAGTATATTTTTCATATAAACTCTTCCAGAGCATACTTCTGAGTTTAAACCAATCATACTGACACCGACTGCAGAGAATAAGTGGATCATCTTTTTGTTTGTTTTTTTGTAAGTTCATTCAATGTGGATATTAGTGGGCAATTCTCAGACCTGAAAATTCTCTTAAATTGAAAAAAATTTCATTTTCCAAATGAACAAAGCAAGAAAAAACAGGTAAAGGACTAAGGTGATATCAGCTGTGATTCTTCTTCAAAACATATGGAGAGTTAAATATCTTTTCCAGGTATCTGTAGCCATGACACCACAAACATTAGTGAAAGGATGAATGGCATTGATGCTTATGTTGTTTGTAAATTGCATATTCCCTACAGTGAGCAGTGGTGTCATTATAGTCATCAGGACCATAGGGTTTGATTCACCAAAGTGGTAAATGCCTCCTGCCAAGTGCTGATTGCCTTCAGCTTCCTTTGAGTTCAGTGGGAGTTGAGAGCTCTCAGTATGTTGCAGGAGGTCCTTGGCACACACCCAAAATGGGCTCATAAATCAAATAAATGAAGGAAAGGAAGAATTTGTGGAAACTTTTGATCTAATAAAAAGTAACTACAATGCAAAAATATTTAAAGGTGAATAGCAACTGGGATGAGGGCCGTTAAGCCTATTGTTTGGAGCTAGGGTTACCATATTTTGTGCCTCCAAATGGAGGACACTCCACGTCCCCGGCCCCGCCCCCAGCCCCGCGCCCCGCCCCCGCCCCGCCCAACC